TGGCCGCGGAGAGTGATGCGATGCAAGGCTGTTCCAACCCTTGGATGCCTGGGAGGGGCGCAGGGCAGTGGAGGAGTGGAGGAGAGGTCGGCGCTGCCGTGAGGGGCGTGGCCGTCCCCAGGTCGTGTGGGTCGGCTTGCTCCTCGCCTGTATGCGTTGCAGAGAGTGCCGCAGTGCGCTGTGCTGCACCTGGCTCCTCCGCCGCGTCCCCCATCATGAGCGAGTCAGTGATGGCGGCGGCTGGCGGTGCTTGCGACTTGAAATAAGCTAGAAGCATGGAAGCCTGGCTGAGGTCCGCTTGTGCGGTCTGAATGGCCAGGGCAATGTTGCGCACGTGCTCCTCCGCCTGCGCTTGTTTGGCTGCCAATTGCTCACAATCGGCCTGCAGGGAGGCCACCACGTGCTCTTGCTCACTAATCTTGGCCAGCGGATCCCTCGCGTTGGCCAATTGAAAGTTAACTAGTGAAGTCTCCTTTCGGATCTCGGTGATACGCATATCGGAGTGCCCTAGGAGAGTTGAGGCCCTAAGCTGCAGGATTAGTGCCTCCTTGCTCATTGCAAGGGCCTTGCGGTGCTCCAGCAGGCGGTCGGGCTCGAGCGGGGGGTAAAGCCAGGCTGAGTGAGAGTGCGCCTCGTCTGGGGTAAGGGTAGGGCACTGCGCTGTGAGCTCCGCCTCTGAGAGCTCAGTGACAGGATCCAGCGCGCCGAGCGAGGCGGAGGCCTGTTCGGCCGCGAGGAAAGGAGAGTGCTGTACAGATGTTGGGCCGAAGAGTGTAGGGGGAGTGGCCGCACCGTCGTGAGGAGGCGCAAAAGGGGAAGGCTGTGTCTGGGGAGACTGTCCTATGATGCCTGTGTCCCTAGCCCCGTGTGGGGTGCCAGGAGCCTTCGATGGAGGCTGCTCCCCATCTCTGCGCTGGTACTCGCGATCTCCACGAGCATCGTCCTTCTCGCGCTTCTTGCGCTCCTTGCTGGAGATCCCAGCCTCTTGGACCGCATGATCTCCTGGGGGTGCAGGGAGCAGGCCGTATTCCGCTGCCCATGCAGCCACCTGATCGAAGGACGGCGCCCCTATCGGTGCGTGGCCCTTGCCTAAGCGCACCCCCCCGTGCTTCCGGAAAAGGAGCGAGGGCCCTTGTGGCCCGGCCCCGCGCCCCCATCATGCAGGGGCCTGTGCTGCCCCTGACCTTTGGCTGGGCCGACCTTCGCATGTTGGTGACCTGCTGCCCGAGTCGGAAAACAGTTGGGACATGAGACGTCCATAGTGGTATTGGCCCGGCCACATTGCAGGCAATACCAGAACTCGGGAGGGGCGCTGCCTTTCTGGTGCACTGGCTGCTGGGGTGGAGGAAAAAAGTCCATGGGAAGGCGCGTGGCATAAAGAGACGGTGAGGGAGGAGCAGCCAATCGCTGGGTGGGAGAAGTAGCCATACCGTGCTGCTGCAGCCCAGCTGTTGGCGAGAGAGGTGGCGCGCGCGGGGGGGGGAAGGGTAGGAGGAACAGCGCCTTGCTGGGGGATACCCTGGAAGGAGTGGTGCTGCGAAAGCATCATCGCAGCTTTGTGCACCCTTAAAAGAGTGCGGGCGTTAGCGCGCTGCTTGCGCGCTCTGCGGTGAGGAGCGGGCTCGTCGCGAGGCCGCTGGGGATAGGGGGAGGAGGGGGGAGGAGGGGGAGGAGGAGGAGGGGGAGGAGGAGGAGGGAGGAGGAGGGAGGAGGAGGAGGAGGAGGAGGAGGGAGGAGGAGGAGGACTTCTGCTGCGATGGTCGAAACCCTATAGTGGCGCCATGGCGCCTCGGCGCCTCGATCGTGCGGCCGAGAGTCCTGGGACCCAGAGGCTCCCTGAGCTTGCCATCGCTCGGGCGCCCAATTCCCCGCGCACTTTCGCTGGCCTCGCGCGTGCTCTCTTCACCAGATGGTCCAGGATAGGGGGCCACATGCGAACCCTACCCCTGCCCCCCACGATTTCTGAGGGGGAGGGTGGGGTTCACTTCGTTCGGGAACTCCCGAGCATCGCTCGGGCGGCGTCCATTCCCCGCGTTTTTTTGCTGGTCTCGCGCGTTCTCTCTTCGCCAGATGGTCCAGGATATGCTCCTCGGATGTTAGAGGAAAGGGAACTGTGCACACGCACACACCGATTCTGGCCAGGCCCGTCCCGAGCCCAGGATCGGTGCACACGCCCTCTGACCTGGGCCAGGAGGGTATATGCACCGATCCAGGGTCAAGAATAAACGTTGTCAGGATCGGTGCATGTGCATAGTTCTCTTCGCCCGAGGATGTGGAGCGCGCGATCACTGAATCACAGTGCGGCACGACTGGTACGGTAGCGTGAAGCAGAAGACCGCCAGGGCCAACGGGGATCGCTACACGAGCCGACCTGCCATAGACAAGCCCATGCGATAATCTATGTCGGACGTTGGCAAAATTGGGTTTAGATGTGTACTGGAGGACGCCCCCCCCGCCCCGTCCCACTAACAAGAACAACCGCCACCAGAAAAAAACACCAGCTACGGCAAACGAAGTTTAGTGATTCTAGGGGCTCCGAGGCCCTACCACTGACCAAGTCCCCTTACCTGGGGTCTTGGCTATACCCGACTACAGCCCGAGAGAAAAGAATGACGATAGATTTATGTCGGGCGTGTCCCCCTGCAGGCGGATTTTGGGCGAAGAACAAGAATAGCCAACAAATACTTCAAACATTCTCAGAGATGTTCAAAAAATCGTCCCCAGACTACTTTTTGACCATTTTTGAATCTTCCTCCTCTAGGGGGCAGGCCCGACTTAAGGCTAGATGCGAGAGAAACGTGCTCCACGACGGCCCTCGCCGACAAAAAAAGGCACACGCCCGAGCGACGCCGGGTCCGCCCGGGCGCCGGCGGCGGCGCCGCCTGGCCGCTGCTTCCGCCGGCTGCGCAAGGGGCAGGAAGAAGAGGAGGAGGAGGAGGGGCAGGAAGAAGAGGAGGAGGATATCATTACTCTCCCTCTTGGTCGGGCGCGCGAACGGCGTCAGCGGAGGGCCTGGGGCGGACCTGACCACCCCAGGACCCCCCGACCGTGTCCTAAAAGCGGCCGAGGAGAAGCAGGAACTCGGCATGCTCGAAAGCGTGGGGCCTAGGCGTGCGGGGAGCCCCCGCGGCGCCCTCCGCGGCCGCGAACGCGCGGCCGCACGCGGGGTGCCACGGCCAGGCCCGCTGAGGCTCCGCGCATGGGCCCCGCCCCAATCCCTCGGGCCGCCAACGGCGAGGGGGCCCCTGAGGCCCAAAAAGGGGCCCCCTAATCTTCGGCATCGGTGCCTCATCCTCCTCCTCCTCCGAGTCCTGGTGCCCCACCCCCCTGGCACTGCCCGAAGTGAGGACGTCCGCCTTCCCGGTGCCGTGGCCTGGCGAGGGGGCGCATCCCGTTGCCGGGGCCAGCCTGCAGGAGCGTGCGGGCCCCAGCCGCGGCGCCGCCGCCGTCCCACCAGAGCGCGCCCCCGCATCCGGCGCCCGCAGCGCTCGACTGCAGGACGCCCGGCGGCAACGGGTCGACGGCCCGGCGCCCGCAGCCGCGCAGCCCCGGGCGCAGCGGACAGCAGCGCGAGGAATGCGTGGGGCAGCGGTGCCCTGCCGCCGTTCGGACGTCCAGTCCAGGTGCACGTCTCGGTTCCGTGCGCTCATTCGACTACGTACCAGACCACCCCAACCCAACCCAAAGACCCGAATTTGACCCGAATGTCGGGTTGGGGGGGGGCACGGGTTCCATGTTTTTTTGAATGTTCCCCGATCCCCCTTCCCACTTGACATGCATGGCAACTTGAGGCCTTCGGGTTGGGTTGGGGTGGTTCGGTGGGTGGTGATCATTGTTCGCACGGTGATCCAGAATGCGCCTCGATGATCCCCGCCGCAAAGACATGCACACGTCCGAGCAGTACCAAGCGTGTGGGTGTAGTGCGCAGCGGCCGTTGCGTCGCAGGGCAGCGCATCCGAGGGGGGCGGGAACGCGGCCCTCGCGGCGGCGCGGAGGAGGGGAGAGGCGAGCGAGGGAAAGGGAAGAGGCAAGCGAGGGAAAGGGAAACGGGGGCCGACGACGCCTTCAATCTGAGACGGGGAGGACGAAGCGGAGCAGGAGGAGCAGGAGGAGGAGGAGGAGGTGGAGGAGGGAGGAGGAGGAGGAGCAGGAGGAGGAGGAGGAGGAGGAGGAGGAGGAAGAGGAGGAGGAGGAGGAGGAGGAGCAGGGAGGAGGAGGAGGAGGAGGAGGAGGAGGAGGAGGAGGAAGAGGAGTGTCATAAATGTCATAGATCCAAGAAGTGAGCGGCGAGCGAGGCTCAACCGTCACCCTCGGCCTCCCAGACAAGAGGAAGGGGCCCGCAGGCGCCAGCACCGACGGTCCGGGGAAAGGCAGATACCTCGTCGCTAAGCGACTCGCAGCCCAACCGAGACGGCGTGGTACGTAGGGGGACAGCCGGTTCACCTCGTCACCGCGCAGTACTTCCCGACCGCCACCCCTGCCGAATCGGATGGCATGTGCAACTGGGGTTGTACCCCAGGGTGAGCGGACACAAGGTCCCAAAGGACTTACGGACCACATGGCCCCGCCTCTCAACCAAATGCACACTCCCCGTGCCTGGTACACATCTCCAGGTCACGGGCGCAGCTGACGCGCCGCTGCCACGGGCAAAGTGCCACGTGGCTGGTGCAAGAACGACGAAAGCCTCTTTATCTGCCCCCAGCCGCCGCATGCAATTGACACTGACAGTGTGCACCGAGGAGTGTGTGGCGCTGACACCATGAGAACAGGTGCCAGGCCCCCACCCTCGGGGCAAGGAGGAGAAGGAGGAGGAGGAGGAGCAGGAGGAGGAGAGGAGGAGGAGGGAAACGAGCCGATGACCCCGCTCACTGACCCCCGAAGCGGCATTGTGACACAGCAGGCTTCAAAAGCGACCCATGTGTGCAACGGCGCTGACGCGAGACTCGAGACGAGCACTGTGCCCCTTTCTGCTCCGCCCCACTCCTCCGTCCCCTCCACTCCTTCAGCACCGCCCGCTGCTGACGCGCGTCGAGTTTGCTGAAGACGGTGGCGCTCGCCTCCAACAGATCGAGTGCATCCAGGCAGGGGGCTGGTGAGGACGAAGGGAAGGGAGACGCAGCAGGAGAGGGATGTGGGAGGACGCGGGGGAGACAGCACTGGGCAACTGCCACGGTACAACTCATCGCTCAAGAACTGGGCACATGCCAAGGCAAAAATGATAAGGCGATTGGGGACTGAAGAAGAAACCCAGCATCGCAGAAACCAGCGGCCCGTCCTAGCACTGAGCCCAACGCAAGCAAACGTATTCAACCATGCGAAGGCCAGGATACCAAGACTGACGACACACTCGCCAGCGTAGTGATGGCACGAGTCATGCTACCACTGCCCTCACTCATGAGGCACACACACGCATCGCAGACAGAAACTCGTTTGGCGGCGTCCTCTGTGAACGCTCCACCGAAGCCAATCAACACCTGGTCCGTGATATTGGAGACCTTGAGCCCGCCGTTCGCACCCGTCTGCCTCTTCTCCATCACGCCATTGCGCTCGCATCTCGGCTCCATGACATCATGCTTTCTCCGTGCCTCCCCATCTCTGCATCAATCCGCACCCCTTCTTGTCTAAATGTGCCCCCCCTGCCCGCATGGCTCCTCCCTTCTTCACCCCCTCTCCCTCTCGCTCTGACCCCCCCCTTCCATTTCCGTCTCACTTTCGCTCTCGCTCCCCTCAATAGCTGCAGATCCTTCGCGGTCCGTATCACACGAGCCAGCGGAGCGGACGGCTGAGGCTTCTGTAGGGGCAAAGTGAACGCAGGAGACGAGAATGGAGATGAAGCGGCCAACGAGGAGGGAAAGAAGCAGGGATGGGGCTGAGGAGGGGCACGATTTCGATTACACGCTGATGAGGTACAACCAACACGTATGAAAAGTCAGCACGTAGGCTTGATCAATGAGAAATTTCCACAAGCTTCGGCTCTGCGGCACACCTTCTGTCAATGAAATTCGCCAGCCCAATAGACCAGAGGCGTGCTAAGATCTCTGGTGTAAATTCTAGTTCGCGCGCGCTGGGCGGCCCCTGGGGGTCCCCAGACGAAAAATACCCCGGCCGACTCCTGGAAAGTTCAGCTCAAGGATGCCGGAACTCCCGAGGGCGGTTTTCGGGGCCCTCCAGATCGCCTCAGGAACGGCCAAGGAACATCAAGGCAGCTCCAAAAGGGCCCACGAACCCGAATCACGGCCCAAGAGCGCTCGAAGATCAAGACGGCCCCAAGACAGCCCCAGAGGCCCCAAAGAAGCCCCAAGGGCGCTCAAAGAGGGCACCAAAGAAGGCCAAGCGAAGCAAACACATCACTGATTGTCCTTGTGTCTTTATATGTTTTTCACGTTCTCGCGGTTTCGGGCGTCCGACGCTCCAAGATGGCCCCTAGAGGCCCCCAAGACCGCCCCAAGACGGCCCGAGAGGGCCCGACGAGAGCCCCAAGACGGTCCAAGAGGGCCCCCAAACGGCCCCAGAGGCTCCCTGGAGGCCCCACGAGGCCCACAAGAGCCTCAAAAAGAGACCCCAAGTGGCCCCCAAACGGCTCTCAAGAGGCCCTGAGAGCCCACGAGCGAAGCGATTCAATAACGAGCGAAGCGATTCAATAACGAGCGAAGCGATTCAATGAGAAGCATCCTCGAGACGCTCGCTGCGCGACTCCGGCCGCACGCGGCACAAAACCTTCATTACAGTCACGGCAGGATGACCACTGCTCGAACGTTCTTGAGTAATGCGGGATGACGATTTATTAAAACAATGAGGGGGAACGATTAAAACAATAGTTTTCTGCTATTTCTGCACAAGTGTCTGACTGGAGAAGAGCGATTCAAACAAACAATTTTCCAGCCCGCCGGTTTTTTCTAATCGTCATCCTGGGCGCCGCCGCGTGAACACGACCCCCGGTCATTTATTAATCGTCATCCTCCATTACAATCATGGCAGGACCATCACTGCACGAACGTTCTTGAGCAGAGATGCGGGCAACGAAGTCCATCTGTTGACGTCGATCTGCTGCGTCCTCAACGCAGTGAGCCCAGGCGCCCAACACTGCGACTTGCTCCATCCGTGGACGGACCCCTTCCCCTAAGACACGCCTTGCATTCCAAAACCTTTTCTGATGGCCCCGGTGCCCGAAAACGGCATCCAAGGGCCGAAGTCAAGGACGCACGTCGGGGTCGAGAGAAAGTTCCGCCAGGTGTCTGCGCATCAGGCGTGGGCAGGATCGCACGCCAAGACCCCCACGCCCCAGCCACGGCAGCACCAGCAACCCCAGCGAACCCCAGAGCCACCCAGAGCAGCCCTCAAGGCTCAAAAACCTCATCGACCCTCCATCCTGCAGCAGGAGCAGGAGCAGGAAGAGGAGAACGAAGAGGAGGAGGAGGAGGAGGAGGAGGAGGAGGAGGAGGAGGAGGAGGAGGAGGAGGAGGAGGTGGGAGGACGAGCAGATGGAGGAGGGGGAGGGGGAGGAGGAGGACCCATCCCCCCTCGAATTTCGACCCCCACGAGGTGCCCCCCCCCTCTCTCGCCATCGCTCTGACGTCCGTCCCCCGTTTATTTTTCGGTTTCGTGTGTGTGTGTGTTTTTTTCGACCGACGATCCAAAGAGGCTCCTCGGTGGCCCTCGCCGGAAAAAGTGCACAACGCTCGAGCGACGCCAAGCCCTCGGCACTGCCTGGCCGCGGCCACGCGTCGGCCCTCGCCCAAGGCCGAGCGCCGCGCCACGACTGCGGGGCCCACGAAGTCGAAGTCGGGCCGGAAGAGTACGTCCGGGCGCGGGGCGACGTGCTCCTCCGCGGGCGGCGCCCAGGACGAGTAACCAAAAAAGGATCACTCTTCGGGAGAGGGCCCAAATTTGGAAGCCCAAAAACATGAGGGGGCATAGGGTTTTTTTTCGGCAGACGTCTCGAACCCAACCGTCCATATGTTTCCTGCCTGACGCAGAGATTGGGACCTCCGTGGGACCACGTCTTCATCGCGTTACTCGGGTTTGGGGGTTCTTCTGTCCTCGACGGCAGGGGTCGCGCCCCCCCCCCCATCCCCGAGGGCGTCCAGGGGGAGGAGGGAACCCAGAAGGGGGGCTCGCAGATCATGGCCCAGGCAGGGCACGTGGGAGGCCCAGGTGGAAATCAGGGGGCGCCCAGAAGTGTGAAATGCGGGCCATGAAACCCGTGGGTATTTGGCGCCCATGGCCATGATGTCCCCCCCCCCTACTCTGGGTGGGGTAAGACTCGCCTCCCCCTTGGATCCGCTGAAAGGGGTTGGGCACGTGCTGTCGGAACGGGTGGATGAGGGTTGGAGGAGGAGGAGGAGGAGGAGGAGGAGGAGGAGGAGGAGGCGGAGGAGGTGGAGGAGGGGGGGGGATGGGCAAGTTCCGTCGGAAGGTTAGTCGCCCACCCCTCGATTACTTGACCACCCACAGTAGTCCCCCCCCCCCCCCTTGGACGCCCGCGACAGCCCCCGCGGCTCTTCACTTTCCGGAAGCTTGCTGAATTAGAGGACCGGAGGCTCGAGGCTGGAGCCGCGCACGGACGCAGCTCGAAGGCACTGGCCTGGGCGGTTTCGAGGAAAGGCCCAAGACCAGCCTTGAGCGGATTTTGGCCACTAGACAGGACGGGGGCCTCTCGGTGCCGTTTCTCGGCCATCCAGCAACGCGTGGGAGTGGTCCTACGCAAGAGTGACCTCTGGTGCGCTACTTTCGGGGGCCGCGTGGGGGCCAAATCCAAGCGCTCAAGCCAGTGCTGGCGTGGCCCCTGATGGGCCCGCACCAAAGGCCACTCCGGGAGGGAGGTCCGAGCAGCAAACTCTGGGACCGAGTAACCATTCCTGCTCGGTCCGCAAATGTTGTTTGGTCTCAACATTTCTGGTTGTTCGAGACCGAATCAGAAAATGTGTCCCGTCACACGCGCAGCCAAGCCACGCGCGTCGGGGGCGTCCAAGAAACGGAAGGGGGGGTGGGGGGGGGCAAATCATGGCCGGCGGCGCGTGCGCGGCCGGGGACGCATTGAAAGAAGAACAGGAAGCGCCATGCAATCTGGGGAGATCCCCTGGCCCCCGCCATGACTTTTTTGCCGCCACCACCTCTGGGCCACCCTCCGTTCCACCTGCGCCGCTTACTTCTGCGGCTCTCGACGGAGCGGCCACCGCTCGCGCTCTTTGAGCTGCCGCGTCGTCCCACCTCAACACGCTGTCCCCTTCCACGCTTCTTGCGTTTTCGGTTGTTGCGACTTGAACTCTCTCCCCGCCCGGCGCCGCCCCTTGCCATGGCCTCCCGACTTTTTTTCCTTCTCGCACTCCGCAACTGCATTTGTCCGCCTGTCCTCTTTCTCCATGGACGTACCTCCCACGCGCGTCTTCCGCCTGGTCGCCGCATCGACAATTCTCGGATCCAGCTCCTCATCGCTGTACAGCTCGTCCTCGTGCTTCACGAGATCTTCCTCTGTGACTGGTCGTGAGTCCACAACGCCCAGGTAGTTCTGCACGTGCCTCTTCGTTTCTTCACATGACATGCCTTTCGTCAACCACTCTAACGACGCCTCCGCCCACGACCCGTTCCGCGGAAACCCCGCAGGTGCGGCACTCCACAGTCGACGTCGTCACGAAGTGCGAACGCTCGAAAATCGACCATCAACAAGAGCCCGTTCCTATCCTCCTCCCCCGCCCCATGCTTCGGCTGCGGCGCGCCATGAGAACTCGGGCTCCCCAGGCGCTCATTCCGCACCAGCACCCACGCGTGCCTCGGAGTTTCAACGCCCTGGGAACGGAACCCACGAATAACTCCCCCATCCATCTTTGATCAGATATTCCACTCCAGCTTTCAACTGTGCTCCCGCCTGCGCCCCGCCTTTGTCATAAACAAATCTCACACGGTCTGCTTCGCGGACCTTCTGAATCCTGGAAAGCGTCAGCTACGCCTGATAGCGATTGCTGGCCGCAGCCGCAATATCTGCCCCACTGCGTGGAAATGCCGCCAACTCGATGCGCCAATACCGCAAGAACTCATGCACATATAAATGCGCCGAGTCAGGCGCGCCAGGAGCGTCCACCGGGCGCATGCCATAAAAGTACACCCGACTCTCAGACACACTTCAAACCTTTTTCGCCCCTTCTCGTTTGTCAGCTTCCAGAAGTCCCGACGCTGCTACGGCCGCGCCGTCCCCGTCAGCACACGGCCGCTCTGCCACGCGCGCGGTTTCTGCTCCTGGGATCATGGCTGTCTTCGCAATCTTGATACTCTCGGCGCCAGTCACGTGTCTGGGGTCTCTATGCGCTCGCAGATTCGCATTTTCCTGCGCTGACGGCACCGCGCCTCTCCCGTACATGTCACTGAGAAGCCTTTTCATGTGCCTGTTCGCTCGGTACGCCGCGGTCCTGTCCTTCGACTGCTCCGCCAGCGCGTGGTGGCCCTTTGTTATCTCCCTCGCTTCGCTGAATGATGGGGCACGCCGCTTGCACTGCTAGTCCGCGGCATACCCCGCCGCTGCATTCTGCGCACGTTGCGCTGCCAGAACCATATCCATGGGTCGATCCGTCTCCCAGCATCGCTCTTTGCAACGCAACTATTGTGCGTGGCGTCCGTCACCGGGGACCCGTGCGGGATCTGCAAATCGCTGTCGAAATTCAACCCAACCGCCCCGCTCAGCATCGCTGGCAGCGTGCCGTTCAGGTTCTCTTCGTTCAGTGCACCCTGTCATGTTCCTCCTCCCTGCTCGCGGCATTTCACGGCCCTTCAAATAACCTTGGCACAACACCACTGCGCGATCAATCAGCCACTTCGTGCGCGGAAAAAGCTTTTGCACAGCGTCATATCATCTGTCTCTGGCACTGAGCCAACGGCACTACGCGCTGCAAGCGCCTACTCCATTGGCGCACGTGGCTCCGCCGAAACTCCTGCCCCTGTTCGCACCCACGACCCACGGTGCTCTCGCAGCCGCGCTCGCCCTTCCAAGCTCACCTTCTTCCCATTGCCTGTGTCGCCGGAGTTGGGCGCGCATGCGGTAATGTCGCTCGTAAATGTCCTATTGCTTCCTTCCGCCTTCCCCGACCCATAACTCAGGCCGCTTATAAGTACTCTGGCGCTGCTACCAAATCCGTAATATCGTGTCACGTGGGACACGCCTTTTCCACCTCCGTCTTCCTCTCCCTCCATCCTTCTACGTCAGCGTACTCTTGACGACTCGCGTTTCTCTTGTACTTCTTGTGCTCCTCCACCAGGCTCTTCAGTACGTCTGTCGGCAAAGGTATCAATTCGTGCAACGGAGTGCGCTGGTTCAAACATTGAGCGAGTACTTGCACGTGCGAATACAAACTTCTGGCCGACTTCTGAGCTTCGACGCTGCCGCACACCCCGTCCACGCGACCCGAGCACCCGCCCGCCTCAGTAGCGTTGCTGCCAAACGACTCTGCGCACTCGCAATCTGGGCGCTTCGGACAATGCCGCATGCCCCAAATGCATCCAAATACAAGGCATACTATAAGCCGGAACCCATCAACGCCCGCAAGGGGGCCCCGAGCTAGCACTGCTTGTCTCTCGTCCGACGCGGGAACGGCATCTGCCAACATCGCCAGAGGAACTGCCATCGTCGCCCTTTGTCCCGTCTGTGTCCGATCCGCCCACGCCCGCTTGCTCGCGCCCATCCCTTGTTGCGGCACCTCCAGAAATCTCCCCCGCGCTGATTGGCGACGGCCCCCGCAACCCAGCATGCGTAGGGCCATGCAACGGCCGCGCAGCGCGACGATTCAAGGGGTCCTTCTTTCGCGACCGCGACAGCCGCACCATTGCCAGGCTGCGTCTCTCGTCCGGGGACATAATGCAAAACAGCGGCGCCCCATGGGCGATCCGAGCAGCATGGGCGTCGCACCTCATGAGCGTCCGCACCTCGTTCGCCCCATCAATTTCGAGAGCCGCCGCGCTGGGCCCTGGCCGCGCTGGGCCGCCGCGTAAAACCAAACCGCCACTCGCGCCCCAATTGAGACTCCACCCGACGCGTCGCGATGCGCGCCCACAGCGCCGCTTCCACGGGGGGCGCCGCTGGCCTACGTCGACGTCGTGCATTTTCCAGCCACTTAGGCATGTCCGGCACCCCCACTCCGCACTTGAAACAGAACGGAAATGCCACGCCGAAAAACCACAGAACAAACTGATTCACCATTGCCTGCCCTGCATGCACCACGCACCGAATGCGGGACGCGTCTGTTTCCAGCATCTCCCAAAGCCGGAACTGCAGTGTCTGCATATCGACGCTGGCCGCCTGGTCTCCCATTCTGCTCGTCCTCGCAAGAGCGCGTTCGTCTCTATCTCCACCGCATGGGCATTCGGGCCTGTCGCATCTGCCTGTCCACGTACTTGCCAGACGGAGTGCGAGGCTTTTGGCTTCCCTTGCCAATGCGCTTGCCTGGACGACCGTCATCTCGCCTCGCCCTGGAATCTCGTGCCCTGCAGGCGACTTGCCCGACGCATGCTCCAACGCACCCTGCCTCAACTTGTTCGCGTCCACTTCGCCCGCAGATGACTTCTCCATCGCGGCGGCATTCGGCGCGCGCAAGTCCATGTCGCGCGCAGCCGCTCCCGCATAATCTCGCAGCCCATCACAAGGCGTCGCACTCTCCTGGTCGTGAGCTTGTCCAGCGCGGTGTCATGCGGCAGCAAAACGGACAATCTCTGGCGGCGCGCCGTCCAATGGCAGCTGACCGGCCTTCTTCCCCATCGCCTCCATGTTGATGTTCACGATGGCCCGGTGCCCGGGCTGCTTCATCATCTCGTCGTGGCGCTTCACATCTTCGCGCCGCACGTTCGCTCGATGCATGAAACGCGGCAAGTCGTGCATAGTAGTGGCGTCGCTGATTTTCAGAAGGATCTGCGCCACAGACCCCAACCTATCACCCACGATCGG